CGTTTTTGTTAGCGATCATATTCTCGCTTTCTCTTCTTTTCTTTTTGCTATTTGAAAGAATGTTTGTGATGTAGTGCCTCTTGCTTAGTCACTACATCACAAACATTCTTTCAAATAGCAAAAAGAAAAGAAGAGAAAGTGAGAATAAAATGATGGCTAACAAAAACGGTCGTTAATTTTGCATCAACCCAATATTTTCGTTCGTTGTGTAAACCTGAAGTTATCAAGCTAATTTTTAGTTTATTATATTTTGCAAAAAAATCATTCAACTCGTGAGGGAAGGTGTATGGGTGGGTATGAGTTTAGATATTTATGTGTTTTAATAATCAAAGCATTCTTAATAAAACTAATACACTAAGTTTATTAGTTATTTTTTAAGATAAGAAATGAATGAGAACAAGAGAATGCTTCGATTTGATTATTAATAATATAATTGGATAATTGGTTAGTATGGTAACGAACAAAATTGAAGAGTATAAACATCAGTGGATGTGTGTGTATACGCAGCATCCATACTGACACCAAAACTTCCATTCATCCACGCACATCTGCACCTACTCCGACACTCACACCCTTTTTCTTTCTTCTTTTTAAATTTTCCTGTGTCGACCAATGCTGTTCCAAGTAACGACAGAATGTTCCAAGTTGCGAAACATACATGAATGTGGCTTTTTTCCAACGTGTAACAAGTTTGAGTCAACTGGTGAGTCATTGACGTCAACAGTAACAGTGTGATTTCATAACTCATAAGACAAAGTGCAAATAAACAAATAGGCGTGCGTCGTTTCTTAGTATTGAGTGATGAGAGAAAAAGAATGACGCCTATAAAATTGCAGTAAAAGACGAAAGCAAAATTCATTTGCGTCGTTTTTTCTTTTGACTGGTGAGCATAGCTACGAATTTTTGTTTTCTACGTCATTATTACCTATTTGATAATAGGCAACTCAGTTTCTAGTGAAGCAAAGTTATAGAAACGTTTTTTTTCTATTTCTAGGAGAATCAATCTAATGGTTGGATCTTATCGGATCCTATTAGATCCAAATAGGTTAGATTTGATCCCATCCTAATTTTGTATTATCTGAGAGAATTCTATAAACACATTTACGAGAGACAGCTGAAGACAAGACGCTGGGATCTCTAGTGTTAGAATCTGATCAAGTCTTGCAGTAGAATACCGTTGGGACATGATTGATTGCCATGAGCATAGGCGACCACCAGTTAAAAATTTAGAATTTGCGAACACTTCAGTTACCAAGATCGAGTAGTCGCATAGTAGAACGTAGTCATATACAGCTTTTGAATCTGTTGGGATGCCTCAGTGTCGATGATTTCGGCCTCTGAGTCCGATTGTTGTCTGTAATGAGATTAGGGGGACTGGCTATAATTGCACTAGAAAGCTATTGTTGTCTGATGGATTTGATATTCTTTCAATGCTACAATTATTTTCTTACACTCTTAAGCAGTTTTGAAGATGCACGTTGAACTACAATAGCTATGTTTCTAAGGCAAAAACGAAATGATCCTAATAAATACATGTACTTTAATCGATAGATATATGTTTATAAATTTACATGCTTAGTCGTCTTTTTCGGTAAATTGTGTTTGGTTTACTAATGAATAACTTTTTGACTGAGTTGATATCCCGAAATATATATACAGATGTGACCAGTCATGCATATCTTATCTCAAATGGGTGATGCAAGCTGTTTCTGCCCAAAAGCTTTCGGAAAATGATAGGAAATTTAAAGCAGGAATACCATGGCTCGATTTCCATGCTTTCGGCACATAGCAGCTGTAAGGGAGCAGAGCTCACCGACGAGCACGCCCACCAGAATACTATTTCCAAATTCTTACCGTTGTCTCAAGTTTTCCGACCTGAAAATCATGAAGCTAGCTGTCTGAATGATTAATCAAGCATCTGCCAAGAATATGACTCATCTACCCTGGCAGAGAAAAATTTGGAAGATCCATAAAAAGAAGAAGCTTTGAACACTTGTCCAAAAGAGTACGAAAATGAATAATCCGACGAAATTTTATAGCTTCTTAAAAGAATCTCTTTCGGGAATGAAGTGCTGAATCTCGTTGGATACAAGTCAGATCCGGCAGTTGCCTACCGAAACTCCATAGGAATTCTGCTTGCGAGGCTTTTGCCTGATTCGAGTGCTGCATATCATCGGATGAATGCGGGCATCTGAATATTGAACCATTTAGTGATTTTGATATTTAGATTCCCATCGACTTTTGTCGGCTAGTCAGAACTTATAGGATTCGATAGCGGATTTATTCAACTAGACTCAGAGTGTGGGTGTATGAGCATGTCATGATGAGATTTTTGTCTGTACGTTCATCTATACATCCACTCTCACACTCCTTTTTGACACTATTTTCTTCAAAATATTTTTCGGATAGGCAGCAGATGGAGATGAGGGCTAATGTCGACCTTGTGAAGCAGAGACTAGCCTCGAAAAAGCAAACCAGTCAGGCTATATTGATCATTGGTAGAGAACTTACTTAAGGTTGTCGATTTCGATATGCTACTGTTAACGTTGAATCATAGTTTTACTGCAGCACACTTTTTCACTCGTAATCTCACTCCCATATTTTTGCAGTATCTTCTAGTATGCACCATTACACGCTTCAATGTTAAAAGAAAAAAGAAATTCTATTCTTATCATAATGTTTCTTCTTTATGATACTGCGCGATTTTGTGCCTTATCTTTCTCAGATAGAGTCACTTCAATCCACATCAAGATACTTGTCTTCGTCATCATATTTCTATTTTTTAGTGATTCTTCTACTCGTGTCAACTAAAAATTTACACTGTTTGGAAGTAACCAGCATAGTTCGCAGATAACGTTGTTTACGGATACAAATTGAAAACTGTAACTCTTGCTAATTAGTGAATCATGGCAACAGGTAGAGCTAAAAAACCTTGTATCAAATGTGATAAAGGTGCAGGTATTATTATATGTGGTGGGTGTCAAGAGTGGTTCTGTGACAAGCACTTTCCACAGCATCGACAGGAACTTGGTGAAAAGATGGATCATATTGGCCAACAGCATGACTTTCTTCACAAACAATTAACTGAAAATAATGTTACACATCCACTCCATTTACGTATTAATGAGTGGGAGAATGCATCAATTAAGAAGATTCAAGAAGTGGCGAAAAAAGCTAGAAGTGATCTACAAAGATATTTAAATGAAACAAAAACCGAATTAAGAGAATCGCTCGGCAAAGTGAAGAATGAATTAGCATCGAGTCGTGAATTGAATGATTATACCGAGTTGGAGCTGAGAGAATGGACTGACCAACTCAACAAACTTCGACAACTGCTTGAGAAACCATCGACCATTGACATTGTCGAAGATGGCCAATCCCAGTCACTCATTCGTATTGTTCAACAGAAAAGTACGTAAAAATACCGCAGTTAAATATTCGATTACACTAAAGTGTAGTTCAATGAAGTACATTCTACTGAATTGTGGATCAGAGTTCAAAAGAGGCATTTAGTTGCGATTTAGTGTCATTGGAAGTCGAGTTGATCTGAGCCAAAATATTGGTTCTTCCATTATGACTATTTTCTAGATTTCGGTATAACAACCATACCTTGCAAGTCATAAAGGATTGCACTAAATGTTCCTAAATCGATAACTTCTTATTTTGCTCATTTACCTATGTATCTATATGAGAGAGGCCACTTTTTTCTAAATTCTGTTGTTGGCAGCTTTTGATAAACGGTAAAGTCATGATCTTCCATTGCGTCTTTACGAAAACAAATTTCAAATCAAAACTTTAATGCACGATTCTTCTACCAGCTCAAGTTGATGAGAGGGAAGTGCCTTTTTGAGTCAATTTTTGATCATGTATCTAACTGTAGGAGCCCAATGGCTGTCTAAAATATATTTCAACAACATATCTACGTATATGATAACATTGTGAAAAGAATTCCAGTTTCTTCCAACAATGCATTATTTCAGAGCAATCTCCTGGAAAGTGTAACTTGATAGTCAATTTTGAATTGAGCCTCAAGAAGCGCTTTGATCACAAAGTTCATACCGACAGTCCCAAATAGAAAAGTAGTTATAAATTCCTAGACTCAACGGTGACTGAGAAATTCTTTCATGTTGAATACCTAGGTACTTTTTCGCGTGGGACAGACCAAAAATCAGTGCCGGATTGACCGTTTTGTCGATGACAAGTTCGATCCGCATGAATTTTGAAAACAGGCCTGTCGTCACCTTGTTTTTCCAGTTTTTTATTATTTGCTACAGTACTAAAACTAGTATGCTTTCACTGGTTTTAATGACTTTCACGATTTGAATGTTCGAGAAAAACGAATTCAAAACTTTGATTCAATAAGTTTCTAGTCGATATATCGAAATTCCAGCTCTTAATTTCGATCTAAAGCTTCTCGCTATAGAATAAGTGATCTTGAGCCACAATGAATGTATCGATGATAATTAAGAAAACTTAACCATTGAGTAAGAGCTTAAATTCAATCTAAAGTAGTAATTATCCATCTCAACATTGCAAGCTCACTTCTGGACTGCTTGACACTGACTACCAGACATTCTTAACAGCTATCTCATGGAAATTTAAAAGAAAACCGAAGTCTTAAAATAATAAGTCTAAAGTTATAATGTCTATTTTAAAATCGAACTTTGCATCTCATCTGAATTTTCTATCGACAAAAGTGGCTGACAAATGGAACAGTTCTTCAAGTAAGGCTGTCAGCTTTCTTACTTTTTTCAAAGCAACTATGGCTAAAGCAGCATTCTACTTTTCCGTGTGCTAAATACTGATTTTAAATAGGCAAGTATCAAACTTATCACTTATTGCGAAGAAATCGTATAATTTTGAAGGAAAACTTGCTAAAATAAAGTACAGATATATTGATTTATATCGCTTTCTGTAAGATACCACATGAAGATTTTTGAATAAATTTTCCTTTGCTTCGCAGTATTAGCGTTTGTGGGACGCAACAGACTAAACGAACGATGTTAGTATTAGAAATTTCAAGAGTTATATGAATTTAACTCATGTTCTTTGAGGAGCTGTATTAATAGTGTTAAAAATAGTTTTCAAAAAGACAATAGTGACAATATCGATATATCACAAAAAGTAGTGATACATTTCCCGAAAAATCAAAAATTTAAAAGCAACACCACACCTTGTACACATGAGTGGATCACTACGAAAGACAAGCGCATCTTTGGCATTTCTGACTTCTCATTATCTTCCTATTGAAATTTTCTTGTGAGTGAGAATGTTGCGATACACGGTTCAAATAATGAAACAGAACAGATTCAATAGAAGATAAATCTATAGCAGATGTACTGGATCTAAGCTCATCTGGTTCCGAGATGCATTCATGTGCCACAGATTAGCTGCTAGTTTGCATCCTCCACATCTCCTCCTTTTTGAGCATATGACATTACTTTCTATCTGAGAGTAACGGAATAATGAGAATTGATTCAACTTCGAAACTTTTTTTTTTGGTATCTACACTGAAGACCTACGAAAATTAATACCAGCAGAATATCAAGTACCGTTATCGTGCGGGAATAGGACATTGACATTCAGTATGAGTAATGATTTTTTTTAAGAACAAAACCAAGATTCAGCTACAAAATTCTAATTTATTGTCCCGTGTTTTAGAAGAAATGTATCGTCTCCACTCAAGAGACAATATTACAGAAAACGAGATGCCTCATTTTTTCTTTATCGAAGTGAAAATGTCTTCAACACCATTACTACGAGGTTAAAGTGTAAAACATGATGAAGTCGTTTTAATCATAAATGGGAACCTACACTATGTCAGTTACATTATCTGAATGGGCCATAAGAGTACCATGTCTAGATGTGTGTCATTATTAGTCTATGATGCATGTCACAAAATCATATCCTAACAAGTAAAACTTGAGTTTTTCTATTTCAGAATTAGTCAGATTGAAGATATTCAATATTTAAAGACAGGTTTTGATTTTGACATGCATAGCTCTGTAGAGCACACTGAGATGTATTGACTTCTCTTGCTATGTATTTCATTCATCATTATCAATTGTGTTTCACAATAAAAAATCGTATTAAGTTTATTTTTGAATTCCTTTGAATACTTTGAACTTTCGTTTAGAAAAACAAGAATTCGCCCCGCCCGGTGTTCACAAGCTGCTTCCTCAGAATAATTCGTTTCTCATGTGACCATTGATTAGCACTATATCATTAAGCGTTTACTCCGAACAGGCAAAAACAGATGAAAGGAACTCTTGTTATAAATATTCATTTATTCTATGGTTTTCCACTAGTTAATTGAAACCGATCTTTCACTTGGAGGAAGGAAAATTAGTGTGAAGAATATTAAGGGTCGTTCTATTCAGCCACTTATTATGTCATACTATAGTTCGTTTAAGAACTTCTTACTTTGCTTTGAAATCATAAAGAGAAACGAACAGAATTCTCATAAGCATGATTCATCTGTGACACAATATTCAATCTTACCACAAACGAGAATAATTTCTTTTTGATGAAGCAATATTTTGAAATAGAACCCTTGTGCCAATTGTGGCAAATGCCGTTGTGTTTATTCAATTCTCCTACGATCTTGAATTTCTGGACGAAGTGCAAATCTTAATATTGAAGTAAAAAGAACATAAATGAACTGAGCACTGATTCGACAGATTCATTTGAGATACGATCTTCTTTATGTTTAGCAACTCGGTAGTTTTGCTGTGAAGTGAATAACCTAGATAAATACGAGCGTTGGTACTATTTAAATCATTCATTTACTATGCGAGAACCAATGAGGCATCGAATCGAAATAGTAAGTATAACGTAGACAAAATAAATCCATAGAACCTACTGGCGATCATGATCATTCATTTCATCGATAACTATCAATAAGTTTATCTTTCTTGAATTTTTGCTTTCTTGTGGATAAAATAAGCGAACAAGATCATCTACAAACTTGGCAGTGGATGTTGACAATTCATTGATGGTATGATAATTGAAGGTCTTCATCAATCGAAAACTTTTTAACAAAGAACGTAAAATAGATAAACATAACACCCAAAATAAGAATTTTTCCATTTTCATGCGAACTTTGATCTACTTAGTGATTCATAATCTTCGTTGCAAAAAGAATGAGATTGGTGAACATGACAATGTCAAGAATTACCATGAGTTATTTACTGTGTCATCTTTTGCAAGAGCATATACTCGATGCTTTTGTTTTGATGAAAGCAACATCGATGAGTAGGAAGGTTGGAACAAGGACGATTGGAAGCGTTATGCTGATTCTTTGATTTTGTAATCTTCTACAAGTACAAGAATTTCCAGCATGTTTCTGGTCATCTGCAAAGATAATTGAATAAAACTGTTGGAAAAAATATGTTCGTATGCCATGAAATCTTTTTGAATCGAATACGATTTAGATGCTTTAGTTCAAAGAGGACAGGATAAGTGAACGAAATCCCAATGATGCATATTCACTAGTTATATGATTGTTGATCAACGTAAACAATGCAAAATCTTCATTTCAACATGAAAAAGATTAATGAACACAAGAGTGGTAAGAAAGATTCACTTAGTGTGTTATCTTTTTTCTACTTACAAATGCATCATTTTTTATGTAAACGATGGAAAGTAAGTGAATAAAATTATAAATATGTCAATCCTTCATTTATTACGTGTTGCTCGATAAACAGATCGACTCACAAGTTTTGATTCAAGCTTCAAAATGAGATGAAAAGATAGATGAACAGGACCATTGGCAAGGCTTCCAACGTTCTCATTATTCGTTGATCATATGATAGTTAATGAATTACGATCAATGCATATAAAGTGTTGCTCAAAATGAATGAAATAAGTGAATATAATTTTCGTTAGGAATATTTATTTGAAATATCATGGTGGATTAATTAAAGATCTTTCAATATTTTTTTTAGATTAATGAAAATAAATGAACATGATATTGATCATATTCATCCATCTGTCATCTGAAACATTAACTTGTATTTCTATCAAAACCTCTGCTTCGAAATTGCTGTGACTGATGAATGGATGGTTGGTGCAACATGTATTTAATAAATTTTCTTTG